GGGAAACTTCACCAAAGTGAAACATAAATCTGTGGATCTGTGTTTGATTACTCTGCCTGGCTTTCTCAAGGACCAGGATGTGACACAAAAATCTGAATTATGGAACTGAAAGTGAAAGTAGTCGAACTGAGTTTTTAATAAACCAAAATACAGTTTCAAAGCAAATTAGTTCAGATACAAAACTTTAAATTCAGTTTCAATTTAGTAAAATTTATTTTCAAACCAATGCATTTAATTTCAAATGATGCACATTCAGATTCAATCTGAGCAATTCACATTCAGTTCCTGTTGGCACAAGTTTTATCCCATAATTCATCTACTTATTAAAACTCTGAAGTAATTTTTTTATATCTAAAGTCTAAACATTTACTATAACTTCTCTTATTTTCACAGTTTTATGACCTAAAGTAATTTCTGTTGTGAGCTTTAATCAGCACGATGTGAACGGGCCTCCTACCCTCGGATCTGGGCTTCGGCCTCTCCAGACCGCCATCTTGCATCAGCTCGAAGGAGAAGGAGACGTTGTGAACCTGCAGGTGCAGAGGTGACACTGTGAGCGACGCTGGCCTCACCTGTGCAGCTCTGCGTTTGGACTCAAACTCAGCTCGGCTCAGACGTTAACCGCTCCGCTTCGATTTAAAAACGTGTAAAATGCACGTTTAATGTTAACGAGGAACAAGCAGAGACGTCTGCACCTCCAAACCGTGTGACGAGCAGAGGTTCGGGTGTTAGAGAGAAGCAGACACAGACTTCTGCAGCAGCTTTTAAAAAACCAAAACTGGAAGAGGAAAACCAATCAGAGCGAAGAGGCTGAATCGCTGGAAGATGTCTTCTATTCTCTGCCCTTTGTGTTTGTGTGTGAGTCCCCCCCGCTGTGAAGTACTAAAAGCTTTGCTCAACAAGGGCTTATTGTGTGAAAAGCATGACCTAAACCCCTCTGATACAAATACAGGAGGAAGAGCCTGAAGAAGAGACGCACCGAGCAGGAGTGCTTTTTACAGAGCCTGGTGCTGCTTTCCTCAGCCCACCCCTGGTGTGGGCCCTCAAACACACACACACACACACACACACACACACACACACACACACACGCACACCTTTTCAGAGGCTATTGTGGAATGTGTGAGCAGAAATAAAGCTTTTCTTCCATTCAGTAGGTCTCCTGTCTGTTTATGACCATGTTGGGGTCAGCTCCAATTCACAAAGCTTTTTCTCCACTTTTCTGTCTCAATTTACTGGAGAGAAAATTGTCGTGAAGCTTCACTTGTCTTCCTGTGCTGAGAAACTGGAACCATTTTGACCTCTTTTTTTTGTTGTTGTTGTTTTTGTCTGAAACACATTCCTGTTTACTTCCTCAGAGGGGCAGAAAAATGGAGGCGCGTTCAGAGACTGAAGTATTTATTGAAAATAAAGAATCAGAACAAACAGAACGTTTATGTGGAGCGAGAGATAAAACAGGCTTTAACAAACAGCTTTGAATTAATGTTCTAAACAGATATTAAGATGTTAATGCACCATAAATTAAAAATAAAGACATTTTAGAAAGCAGGTGCTTAAAATATTCATTTATAAAACAATATAGAAAAACAAAACTTTGGTCATTTTCAGTTTTAAAACTCCAGATGTTTGTTTTTTGTTCTGATTTTAAGCCTTTTTTTACTTTAAAGCATCGATCAAATGTCTGTTAAATTACTGGACGTGGACGGGCGTTATTCTTTTAAAAAATGATCAATTCTGACTTTGTGAGGTAAAATATGCATTTTATCCATAAATTAGGCTGTTTTATTTCAACTTAGAGAAAATATAAAAGGGATTTAACTATTTTTTGGCAAAAAAAATTACATTTTGATCAGACAGAAATTTTTTTTTTATTTGAGTTGGCTTCATAAACCAAATGTGGCAAAATCTAAATAAATTATTTACAAATTAAAGAGCGAATCACAATTTAACAGACAAACTGGCTCATTAACAAAAGAATTAAAAATATTTCAAGACTTGTGAACCTCGTCTAATAAAAAGTTTAAGATATTAAACAGAAGCTGTCAGCGTTTTAATGTTTAAATAAAACAGACTGAAACACTAGAATAATACAATTCAGAGAGCTGACGAAGTGTATCAAAATGTACAATAAATACATTTAAACATTTTGAATAAAAAGAAACGTTGCTACTTTTGAGTCAAAATGACTTTTATGGCTTTGAAATGTTTTCAGCTTAAAATAAAGATTCATGCAATTTACAATAAAATGACAACAAACTCTAATCGTGTCTGCAGAAATGATCCAAACGTGTGGGATTCTTTTCTCCAAAAGGCAAAATGTGATTCATGCATGTGGGTACAAAACAACTCAACCAATAATAACAAAAAATATTTTAGTATTTAAAAAAAAGGAGCTAAAAGCACTGATGAGCAGTTTCCTGATGCTCAGTCCACATTTCTGTACCTGGAGAAGAGGTTGTACAGAACACGCAGCGTGGATTTCAGGTCACAGTTCACAATGTCTGAGGAAAACAAACAAAGAGTTTACATGTAAACAACTATTTACCTGCAAACACAACAAGTTCCTTTACACCTGCAGACAGGATGACGTATGGGATCAATCTTGTGCCAACAGGAACTGAATCTGAATGTTCATAATTTGAAATTAAATGCATTGGTTTGAAAATAAATTTTACTAAACTGAAACTGAATTTTAAGTTTTGTATCTGAATTAATTTGCTTTGAAACTGTATTTTGGTTTATTAAAAACTCAGTTTGACTACTTTCACTTTCAGTTCCATAATTCAGATGTTTGTGTCACATCCTGGTCCTTGAGAAAGCCAGGCAGAGTAATCAAACACAGATCCACAGATTTAGAGCAAATTAAGTTTGTAATTTTTTTGATAAAGAAAAATCTACAAAAATCACTGAGTTATAAAAAGAAAAATTAACTTTTAGTGTTTAAGTTGTTGAACAGAAAATAAGTTGTTTTTTTGTGATAATTTGTTGATTTTTCTTTGTGTAACAAACCTCTGGGAGCAGATTTGCTGTGTGTGCGTGAGTCAAACTGCTGATGTCCTCTCGCTTCAGGATGACGTTCAGTCCACCTCAGCAGAGCCCCCCCCTCCCTTCAAGCCCCCGCCCCCTCCAGGGG